TTTTTTTTTTTTTTGCATCACATAGGTCACGCAATCTGCAGCTGGACGTATTGTCTTACAGAAAGATGAAGAAGACCGGAAGTAGTTGGAGGATGACTGCACTAGAGCTGTGGCTGAAAAATTAATACATCCCATGTGTATTGATTGAACAAATTTAATCAGATGCTATTTTAATTGTATATACACATGCATATTCAATTGTTATTTAAGGCAGTTCTAAAGAATTTTCAGTTCAAAAGCTCAAGTGGTCAAAAGGTGTATTATTTTGTCTGAAGGAAGACTGCAATTCCCATGAGGACCAGCGCATATGACAATGACAGAGGTGTCATTTAGCTAGCTTTAAATCGACATATAATTCCGAAAGTTATGAAAATATTTTATGTAGATTAAAAGTTACTTGGTGTTGGTATTGGTTGTTTTCAGGATGATGTCTTACAATAAATAGTAGCAGATCAAACTTTTAGGGAACTTGTTAGAAGAACTTTAATATTAGCCATATTTGTTTTCTCTCTATTGTGTCATAATTTGTTTAAAAAAAATATTCCAAGTTTGAACCGAGACACTCCAATGCAGGGAACTTCCTTTGTGCAATTTTGACAAGATACACCAAGAAGAAACTTTTCAATTTCCAACTTGGAGACAGAATTTACACACACAGTAACTCTGTACAGAAAACACCAAACCTCCAATGGTGGCCAGAGCATTATTCTACATACTAGCCCTCTGGGTTTGTGTCTTTAGTGTTTTCAGTCTGTCTGATCCAGTAGACCTGATTAAATTGATTGCATCACCTCCTCAGCATCTCACAAAGTGCAGCAGAAGAATGTTAGTGACTCATTTACAGTTGGTTGTAAGGACCAGGGTTGGGAAACACTGAGTAAACTGATATTAAGGGCTCTGAGGATCAGGTAGGCCTTTAACCACACTGATACCAGAGTTGAATGTTATGAATTATTCATCTTATGCTAGTTTATATTTCTCCTTTTGTGTATGTCAAATACATATATGTACAGAAATACGTAAAAACCTGAAACCCATTAATTTCTGAACCTAGTATCATTGAGGTTTAGAAATGGAGGTATGATTTGAAGAAAACTTGAGGGAAGTGCTGCTGATATGTCTGATGTGACACCACCTACAGGTGTATCTTAGCTTGATATGATAAAACAGCATGAATGAGGAATTGTCTTTGAATTGGAGTTGTTTACTCACAGTATATTTTTAAATATCAGTGCTAGACTCTGCCTCATAAGAACAAGATTTTAAACAAATCTATAAAAGTAATAAACAATCTTCATCCCCTAAAGATTATTTATAAACTTCTGTTAAGCATTGCTAACGTATGGGCTGCAAAAGAGTATCTGACCTTGTTGTGAGCATTTCTCAGTGTACTCAGCTCTCTAGAAAGGTTTGCCTTTTGCTCCTCCAAGGCCACCACTGGAAGGAAAGAAGACAAACTTTTTAATGTCTTTAAAGCCAAAAGAAATTGAGATGCTGCCTAAAATATATGTTTAATCCATAATTTTAAATCAATTTTCAATTTAGGGTCACAGGGGGACTAGTGTCCTTGTATAATGCTCAATGGAGAACAGATAGAGTACGCCCTGGACAGATTGTCAAACCCATTCATACACACAATTACAACTCAGACCAACTTAGGTCTATTTCAATTTAGAATAAGATAAAGACTTTATCCAACTTTCTTGTAACATATTTGAGACAAATTCAAACCAGGAATATTTGAGGGATAAAAGAAAATCTGCTCCATATGAATACACATTCTTTTATGACTTGGAGTTGCAGAAAATGTGAGTCAATACACACACTTGATAATTTAAGAAATGGCTTCTGCTTGGCTTTATATAAATATTGGCCATTGAGTCTTTTACTGATGTTTCCTTAGTCAAAAAAGACATTGTGAACACAGCCTTCATTTTTTATACCAAAAAAAAAACTCACCTTGATCAGCCTGCTGTCTTGCCTTCTTCTCCAGAGCTCTCTCTCGCATCTCCCTCTCCTTCTCCCTCCCCCTCATGGCTCTCCTCTCTTGTTCGAACTGGTCATCCAATTCTAGATATTTCTAAAGGAAACCCATATATAACAACTCAGAAAAACAAGAAAAACAAAAAAATGAAACCTTATATTTGTCATTTTTGCACAAGTTTGTGGTAATTTGGTGAGATTTAAAAAGCTTTGTTTCTTTTCCAGGACAACCCTAAATATCATGCAGTTAATAGCCCACCTGAATAAATCTAATCAATCAATTAATGGATTTTGTATCAAGTCCAACCTCCTGACTTTCTTTCCTCAGAGCTTTCTCTGCTTGGTATCTCTCCAGCAGCTCCTCTCGCTCGGCTTTCTCCCTCTCTGCCTCCTCCTCCCTTTCCCTCAGCTGGTTTTTACAGTTGGCCAGCCCCTCCAGGACCCACACGAATGTGGGCACCAGGGACTCCACCACACCTTCCCCATAGGTCTCAATAACAGTCTATGGTGTTGCAAAGAAGAGAAAGCCAACATGTTTAACCACATGCAAATGACATTTTACTTACATTTGCATTGATAGTAAAAAATTTACAGAGGACAGAAAATAAAAAAAACTTACTTGAAGTTCTGCATAAAGTTTTCCTGCCTCCTCACTGACAATGTTTGGGTCCAGCTCCACCTCCCCAGTCCCACACAGCACTTTTTCTCTGCAGTCCATCGGCTTCTTGGTTCTTTTTTAATACTGTATAGTTTACTATCAAAATGTCCTCCAAATTCCACACAAACAATTTCTCAAACTCTGAGAAAAATGTTTGAATGCCTTTCCCCCTCAACTAATATAACTAGTCTAGCTAGCTCTCTGACATTTCTGCCAACACCAGCACCACCCATTCTTCACAGCTTTACTCTTGTTGGTAGCTAGGAAGCGCAGCATCCTCTTAGACTGCCGCCTGCAAACTGCTGCTACACTTTCGAGCTTCCATGGTGTAAGAAAATGTTTCAGAGCCCATCCTAAAAAAAAGAAGAAAGGAAACTGATTACTTTTTCTCTATATTTTGATTGAGTCAACTTGTAAAAAAACAGAAGAATTGCAACCATAGGGCTCAACATCAACCAAAGCCACTTTATTGCTAGATAATTATATAGGAAGCATAATTTAACAATCACAGTGTATAGTTACAAAGAATATTTTAGAGGGTTCTTTCATTGTTTTTTAGTGATTTTTGTTAAAAAATCCAAAAACACAGATGCTGGTGAGGGTCTCGACATGGAGTAGTGCTAGCCAGGGGTCTGTAGATGCAGGTGTGCCTACTGTCTGCACTGCAGCACTTTGTGATGCAGGATGCCTGAATCTGCAAATTGGATAATCACTTCAGTGAGCCAACTCTGAACTATTTTCAGGGTGACACTTTTCTCTTTCTTGGTATTAACATAAGCCTTTTTAGAAAAGCATTTTATTTGTTTTGTTTTGTGCTTTTATTTGCCCCCCTTTCTCTTTTTACATCTGTTGTAAAAAACAAACAAAAAAAACAACTTTATTTAGTAGCAGTATTTTTATCTGACAAGAGATACATTAATATTGTTTTAATCTTCTCATCATCTCTTTTAAGAAAGGGTGGTTAGGTGAGTGAACTGATCTAAACTGAGATCAGAACCCAAAACTGAAGCATGCAGTCTTATATAGGGTTGTTACGATACAAAAATTCCAAAATTGGATACTCTTTGTGATTTATGGTACCAAGGGTAATAGAAAGGACAAGACATTTAAGGTATGAAATCTCACCTTTTCATTCTTAACATTGAACATGAACAGATTCTGTTAATTAAATAAGTGTGCAAATAAATCACCCAAATATCACAGTTTAACAATATTTTAAGGTTGGTTGTTGCATTATATATCTTTTAATATTCAAATAAACTAGAAATCTAAAATTAACAACAGCAAAAAATATGCAAACAGCACTTGTATTAATAAGTATCAATACCATGCTAACCTAGTGTCATATCCAGACATAGAATTTGAGTATCAATACTTTTTTTGAGTATTAAAGTTCTAACAATAAAAATATTGTAAGAATATAAATCAATATATATAAGCACTATTATATANAAAAAAAAGTTTTATTAGATGTATGGAAAGGATTTAGATATAGTTTATTCATAAGCATTTTGGATACATTGTCAAATAGCTAAGCGATAACATTTAAATGTCATGACGTTGGCACCCATCGCTTGGTTTGACTTTTTTTTCTCTCAGCTGCTTTGCTCTGCCCTGCAATAATCATCTCTGACCAGATCTACCTGTTCCTGCTTCTATTTAATCCATCTGTTCTGAGCCATTGGTGCCATATAATTCAAGCTTCTTGTGAGACTAATTCTAGCGTACCCTGTTACGTTATGCTCTGAGTTTTTTTGACCACCCATTCTGTTCTGTTTGTCTGATCTGTTACCTGGATTCTGCCTGTTATCGAACTTGGACCTGTCTTCTGACCCCGTCTTGGATTTGTTACTCTGGACCCTTCGGTTCCTCTGCATGTTCTGGCTGCTGCCGGTCGCTACTTCTCTTCTCTCCTGGATCTCTGTAATCAGCTCAGTTACACTCCTCTGGACTTCATTCCTTCTTCAAGGGGAGTGTTGGCCTAGAGTTTAGAGCAGTGTGCTTGTGTTCTGAGAAGGTTGCAAGTACCCGGATCGATCCCCAGAGCCTGCACTCTGGCTCTCTGAGCAAGACCCTTAACCCCACACTGCTCCCTGGGTGCCGCATATTGGCAGCCCACTGCTCCCCAAGGGGATGGGTTAAATGCAGAGGATATTTTCACCAGTGTGGGATCCAAAAAGTTCAATTATTATAATTATTCTGGGCTCAGACTGAATTATATATATACAGTACACACACACACACACACACACACATATATATATATATATATATATATATATATATACAGTACACACCATTTAGACAGCCATTTGGATTTTAAATATCTATCATTCAGAACTGTACGAGATTACATTTAAACGCAAACGGTGCGTAAATAACTGGTTGGATCCAGTAAAAGCTGCAGAAATGTCTAGTTATCAAAATAAGGAAATAATGACCCCAGTCTAAATGTCCGACACCCTTTGCCATCCTGTATGAATAAATCAAGTGACTGACAGTGGACACCTTCAGGACCGTTGGCAGCAAGTTTACAAAGTTGTCACTTCAGCAAAAGAAAAAGAAAAACTAGCCGTGTTGCTAACGTATTCAGTAGCTATAGACGTACCTTAACCGCCGATTCTGTACTTAATTTCACTTAAGAAAACGAATATCTCTCAGTTTTGCAAAGTTTTTCTTCGAAAAAGGTGTCAATTACTGAAACCAGTTTTAAGGAGAGGGTTGTTGTCCAATTTTGACGTGCGCTGACTTGTTTTTCAACAAACCAATCAGGGCTTTGATATTATGGACAGTAACCAATGTGGTTAGAGAAGAGGCGGGACGTGCGTAGTTTTGTTTTCGGAAGGAAAAAAAAAGTCTTCCTGAAACTTGAACGATGACACGTGACTTTAAGAGGTTACAGGGGGTAGTCAGGTGATCTTTACAAGTCGCATGCGAACATATCACGTATATGATAACATAAGCGACTATTCTCGTGTTAGGGCTTTAAAGGAGTATGTTACTGTTTACCACGTTGGAAGTGAGAGCAGTACTAGATAAATGTCAAGATAAACTAGAGCAAATTTGGTACGGGTGTCTCCGAGTTCTGTAGCCTTTTGTGTAAAAGAGCCTTTATTACGATACGCTTAATGTCTCCGTAAAATCAGCAAAACGAAAGGCGGTGAAGAAACACCTCAAACAAGGAAAGGAATGTGTCCGAGTGACATTCCTTTTACCTCCGCCAGGGGGAGACAACAACACATTTATTGTTTTCATCTGACTTTCTCTTCCTTGATCTTTGAGGTTTCTATTCAATCCTTTTCTTTCCCAACTTTTTGTCCATATCACCTCAATGTGTAGAGTTATATCAGTTTTTTCATCTTTTACTCAAATTATAACCAGAGGTGGATAGAACAGCCAAGAAATTATTTGTGAATATAACTGCCAGAGCAAGTTTTACTCCAGTATGCAAATAGTGAAAATATGATAATAAAAACAAATTTGAACTTTATTGATATCACATTAGATACTACCATTAAAGCAATTACACAAGTTAGGGTAAAAAAATATATATATTTTTACCAAATACCTAAATTGACCATTAATAGTGATTCCATAAAGTTATTTTAAAAAAACAATCCACTGGACTTGATTTCCAAGATTTGGAGATCAAGTCCAGTGGATTGTTTTTTTAAACTTTTACGGAATGACTATGACCTGGATGATGGAGAATCTTCATCAGCTTAATAGTGATTGTTTTATTAACAATCATTTGTATTTGAAATAATGTTCTGTCTGATTTTTTAAGAGACAAAACAATAGAATATCAAATTTCAGGATGGCCTTTGGACAACCTTCTTTGCAAGCAAAGTAAAAAGCACCATTATTTTGCAACGCTGACCTCGATATTCATTTTACCACCTGACATGAATTTATCAACTGCATTCGTCTCCATGCTGTTCTCTCATTTGGAATGAACTGGATTCCATAATGCTTAAATTATTAGCACCGTTGCACTGCAGCAAAAGGGTCCTTGGTTTGAATCCCAGCCAGGGTCTTTCTGGAAATTCTTCTTTAGCTAGTATCACCACTACAGTTGAAGTGAAAGGTTAAAAAAAACAGTAAAAAGGCACCCCAAAGTATGATCATCATTATTATATAAATATATATTTATTCTATTTATAGATGTTCACAGTGAAAAAATACAACAAATTATTATATAATATATTTTATTAAAGTTTTTAGACATAGTTACAGACATCTTAAGTTGTCGTAGTTAGCAAGCAAATTAATGTGGGCTAATGGTCACACATACCTCATAATGAAACTTCATCACTAATATCTTTAGTGCTTTAGTAAAATGATACACCCGTGATATATTATCTAATGTTTTCATTTGTTAAACATGGATATATAACCTTTTTGCATTGTGTCTCAGTCCTTTGCCCAGAACTGTATAACTTTTGTGTATTCGGTATAGATGATGATAAAATCTACAACTCAGAATCAACAGTCCTTAAAGGTATAGTGTAAGATTTTGGTGATTTTTTTAAAAAGACCCGCCCTCTCCTCTTAAAAAAAAAATAAAAAATGCACATGCACAATCCTGTATCCGCTCCTGAGAGGGAACACTTATTAAGAGCATTCAAAAGCCCATTTCTCCTTGAACACGCTCTGTTTAAAAATTGCTGTTTACATCTCATACAAGCTTACTTTTCAAAAGAAGATAAGAATTTTTCCTCTATGTCAGACTCACCACCAGTAAGTGAAAATGGGGACGAGCACATAGGACAGCCTTACGTAAACATATCACTAGAATGATTGACAATTAGGAGGACCACTTATTTTGATGATCCACCCGGAATAAGAGCATCCTCCACTATACCTTTGACTGCTTATAAATGAGAGTGAGGATTATAAAAAACAACATAAGTTGAAGGCCATAAAACAAATTTTAGAGCAAAGGTTAAAAAACAAACTTGAATTTTTAACATTTAACTTATTGCCTTCTATATTTGATGACTTGTCAGCAGCATATTTTATGGATAACAACTGAGAAGAGAATATAAATCTGATTCTTTCAAAGAAAACAAGAATGGTACAGCAGAGGCATATTAGAGCTTATAAAGCGGTTTGTTAAAAATACATAGAAAAATTAGATTCCTGCATCCCGGAGTAAAGTATCAAAGGTAATTTTATCAATACACATTTTTGATAAACATATTGAACACAAACGCTATCCATATTTTGAAATTATTAGTGAGCCATCTTCAAAAAATGTGAGTATAATAGGAAAACACACGAAATATTTACATGGAAGGTTGTTTTGGGCAGTGTGGCTCAGTGCCCAGGGTATAGTTTAGAGGCAGGAGCAGTTGGGGAGAAAAAAATTATCTGTTTCAGCCTGAATAACTTTTGTATTGCTTATCCACATGTACATTCAATGGGGATCGGGCACCACAACCTAATAATAATTGAACTTTATTGATCTCACACTGGAGAAATTCACTCTCTGTATTTGACCCATCCCCTTGGGGAGCAGTGGGCTGCCACTGTGTGGCGCCCAGGGAGCAGTGTGGGGTTAAGGGTATTGCTCAGGGACCCAGAGTGCAGGTTGTGGGGATCAAACCGGCTACTTGCAATCTTCTCAGAGCACAAGCACCCTGCTCTAACCACTAGGCAAACACTCCCCACCTGTCAAGCAAATATGGCTTTGGACTGTCTTTATCTGATAACACTGAATTTGAACTAATCTAGTTAATCAACAAGGAATAAATATTCATTTCAATTGTCAATTGACACCAAGTGATTTGTGAATCTTACATCAAGTCTGTGAAAAACGAGAGTATTTTTTTTTCTTCAGCCTCTTTACATTGACCCACTGGACCACCTCTGAATGAAAAAAGCCAGGATTGAAAAAGCTAGAGGCACCACTTAAGATTCTTCTTTAAATTTAGAAGGAGAGACAGATCTGAAGTTTTGCCAATGTGGGGTAAAATACTCTAAAACTGTCTTCTTATGAAGCATAAGTGCCCCTTTATATTCATCCCTTATACCAAATATTGTGTAGTGGTGATCTAAACAGATGCTACGTTCACTTCTGTTTCTGTCAGTAGTGCTCATTTATACAGTGACCTTTTTAATCACTTGACCTTCTTGTACAAGAACTTGTTTTCCTTCTCTTCCCTCCTCTCTTCTGATTCCTCTCTTCTTCTTCGTCAGGAGGTGAAACACCAGCACGATGGCCACCATCGAAAAACTGAGAACAAGTATGACCAGCCCAAGTCCTAGCAAGGTAAAGTTCTCGTTTTGGAACCTACCCAGCTGGTCCCAGATCGCCACAGCCAAGCAGCTGAGTCCGATCAGAGTTCCCCAAAAACCAAAGGCCAGGATACAGGATCTACAAGAGAGTTCCACTCCGCCAGTTACCACAGTGATGCCTGCCACTGAGACGACTCCGCTGGAGAAAGTAACTGTTTCAGGCCGACACTGGTAGGAAGCTGCTGAGGTAACATCTGGCAAAGTTGAAGGATCAAGGGTCTCCATCTTGGCTGCCATTGCTGTTTTCTTATCAGCTTTGTAATCAGATGAGATGGATCTCAGTGAAACTTCCTCCTTTTTCCTTCACCTATAAAACAACCCAGAGTCCTGTTAAAAATGTAGCAAAGTAACTTTGTATGAAATTTCTCTCCACAGTTTCTGCTTGGATTTCCCCAAATTGTCCTCTACATAATTTGTGACAAACTGCACATGGGAAAAATATTTTCTTCACAATGAATGTCTTTCAGTCTTCCACACAGGGTAGTTATGTAAAATGGTTACCAGACTTATAGCTATCAACAGATTCTGCTAACTAGCCTTTCAGTTTCAGCAGATCCTCCAGAGATGCAATGGGCTCCATATTTCCTTCTATGATTGATGCTCTTATGACACAACCAGGTCCCCAATATTCAAGTCAATGACTTAAACCATTAAATCATAGGGACTCTGGTGAATAATTAACATATTCCTCTAAAAGTTAGAAACCATGTATTATTGACCTTAACCTCCACAAAAATAAAGCTCAGTTTGCATTGATATACTACAACAAATCAATAAAAATTGAATAAGATTTGGTTGGTTGTAGCAAGAAATTAAAGGTCTTTTTGGATGATGTATTCTGCCTGTTTAAATAGATTTTTTTTTTTACCCAACGTAAAATAAATAACACAAAGTAAATATTTATCCCTCACTTCTGCTTTTGCAGCATTCCATGAACATACATATGTGACATTCCTTTGAGATGTTTGTTGTCTGGAATACATCTCAAACTTTAACGTCTAATACTACTCCATAACTAAATATGCCAAGCTTTAAATCCAGCCTTGCATTTGTTTTCATGAAATAGTTTTAGCTGACCATCCAAACAAAATAAAAAGAACTGAAAACCCTGATTTAAACATTAACATACTTTATATGTTTAAAATCCAGATACCATGTTAAAGTTGTAATCTTAGATGATCTGTAAAATTGTCTTGTGAAGGAAAAGCAGATTACTGCTTACCTCAGTGTTGAACCAGGAGAAGTCAATAGAAGCTCAGAGGTAAGGTTCCAATAGATTTAATACCACAAATAATGTAAATGTATTAAAGCCTGTGGTTGCTGCCGATGTTCTCTCTTAACTGGGAGATGTAAAAATGGGAGCAGATGCTCAAGTCCTTGCAAATGTTGCCTACTTGGGTTCTTGGACTAAACTGTAGACAAAGTTATCAAGATTGTAGCCATAGTTTGTTTATTCCTCTCCTTCCTTGTTTTGCAAGGAAGCTCTCGTCTGTCATTACCCGTCATTACAACCCATTAACAGATATTTATTTAGAAACAACTCCCTTCCTCTTTTTCTTTTTCTTTCAGCTTAAGGTCTATGTTGTGTCCGACCAGGGCATTGTATTGGTTAAAAAAGAAGTTTTCTTTTCCCAAACCATTGTCCAGCCCAGCATTCACCCTCTGCTTCTTATGCCACTAGTTGTGTGTTTTTACAAAACATCTAAAACTCCTCTGAAGTGTCAAAGGAGAAAGTGGGTCTTGGTTAATATTTCTTCTCAGACTTCCATTTGTTACTCTTAGTAGTTCAAGTCAATCCAAACAAACTCAAGTTCGATGTAAATTACATGGTTTAGACCAGGGGTCATCAAGGGGCCCTTAAGGACCACATGTGGTGCCCTCAGCCTCTTCTGAACACAGAACGAGTGGACTAAGTCTAACATTTTTATTTGATGCTGCTACTCTTATTTTTTATAATTTCTAGAGCCTTTCATAATATCATTAATTTAGAACATTTAACCATTTATAAGGATTTCAAAAAAACAATATTTAAACTTAAATTAGAAATGAAAAGAAACAATAGTAATATGTTTATTATCTATGAAGTTTAGGTGAATGCAGACTCCTCCAGTTCATAGGTCAGTATTTGTAGCCCATCCTTTGAGTCAATAACTATGAAGAACCCCTCATTTTTATAAAGATTAGTGACCCCTGGTGTAGACATGAACACAATTTCCTGGTCTTTCCAAGTGTTGGGAGTATTCATCAGTCCAAACAGTGTTGTCAAACAAATCATTTCTTATTATATGATCTACCATCTAAACTAAATCCCTAAAATAAATAAATATCCTGCTTAAAGCCACGTAAAAAGAGATCCAGAAAGAATAATACAAATTTCAGACTGACATTTCACCGTTGATAATGTAGCACAAGTAAAGCTCAACAGAGTCCATTAATAGGGTATAATCCTGCCCAGCCAATAAGGTTGTTGCCATGAGCCAAATAGATCTTCTTAGGTGTTCTCAGATTGACGTCCACTCCTTAAAAACTCTTACAAGCGCAATTTACACACACACTCACACACCCCCACTAACATGCGCAACTTGCAAAATTAGCATAATGTGTTTATTTTTATTGTTAAAAAAACTAGAGATTTGAAGAGCAGTTGTACGACCTTTTCTACTCATTGTGAGAATCACATCCTCTAAGATCCAAACTGCAGGTATATCCTAAATGATGCACGTATCCTCATGGTTGGAAAAACGTTTTAAAAGTAGCACAAATCTTTGCCTGTTTTAGAACTGGCAATTAGCTCATTCTATAGTTCAGGTCACATGTTAGGGATTGTTTTGTGTCGGGGGGAGGTAATTCTTTTGGACGTAGCCCCACGGCCAAGCAGGATGATGGTAATTGGCTAAGGGTAGAGGGCAGAGCAGGAGTAATCCAATAGATGGTCTCAGTTGGCATATTCTTCTTGAAAAACATATCCTTCTTGACCAAAAACCATTGCATTCTGGGTAGGGATACTTAAAGTTTATCGATAGACCTTTGTAATGCAATACAGGACTCACCAACCTTTAGTTTAAGTTACACTTGAATCAATAACTGGGATCATCTTTTTAAAATATTTCACACAAACTGTTGTTTAATGTGTCTAAGAAGGCTATCCCCTTAAACGTCATCAAGACATCTAATAAAAATGTGTTGCATGCAAATATTGGCCCCAAAAAAACACACAAAAAAAGAATTTCCACTCAGTTACAGGTTTATCTTTTGTAGGGAATGTAACATGATTTGCTATGCAGCCACCTCTAATGTAATTTTAAAGAGAAGAAAGTCAGGGATCAAATTCAAGCATCCAGCTCACTGAAGTAAATCCAACATGGAGACAGACAGCTCAGTCTAAAAAAGGCGCCATAGTTGCTCATGAAGGACAGGAAGGACGTTGAGAGCACTGATGGTAATTTGAAGGATGTAGGTGGGACTTGAGTTAGCTTTGAGCCAGAGAGTCAAACTGACTGGACAGATGGTTGGGTGTAATTAGAAAGCATGCTTTCTGAAAAGACATACAAGATGGCAAGGAACGTGAAATATTGCCTGAGGGTCCGTATGCACCCAAGTGCTTTTAATTTATAAAGAAGCTCTTCTTTAACCTAGGAACATGATGATAAAGACACATACATTATATGCAATAATTAAAAGAAATCTCAAAGCAGAAAATTACCAAATTCTTTAAACGATATGTATTTGAAAACAGCAGGCAGAGAACCTAAATGTTAAAACTAAAGGGTGTATCTTTTTTTAAATCTTCTTTTTAAATGTTATCCAGCAGCCTTCGGATTATGTAAATAATTTAAATATATTAAAAAATATTAAAAAATATTCTCCGGTTTGAAAATTAAATCACCTTTTTCCTGGTAAGTTCTAAATCATTTTAGAAAAAATAAAGAGACTTATTTTTCCTTTAACATATGATTTATTTAGTTAAAAATACATTTGTTAAACAAATACCAGATGGAACAAAACATACTCAAAGATATTTTTCATTTCACCACACTAAATCTTAATCATCAACCTAATTTATTGATATTCTATGTAATTGTCTTATGTCTTAATAAGCGATACATACTGCTGCCATCACTGTGTCTTACTGTGGGCATATTTTCACGTGCAAGACAAAAATCTAATTTTTGCCTATGATTCTTTTGAAAATGTCTCAGGATCAGTTATGTTAAAAGAAGAACATCTGTGAGTATCAATTACAAGTTTTACCACAGATTATTAGCCAGATGTCTGTTTTAACTTTGGTTGCATTTTGCAGCTCCTCTAGAGTTAATTTGGAGGACATGGGAGCTGCTTTGATTAAAGCTCTTACAGTTTAAGTGGCTGCCATGTCTTTGTAGGTTTGTGAATAAGTTTTGGAATAGAAATAAGTCAACATTTCTTAAATTAAGTTTATTTACCCTTAAATTGAGTAGGCAAAAAGGTTAATTTGCCAATGGAATTGGATTTTTTCTACTCTAATTAGATAATATCTACTTGAAATAAGACGATTGAATAATTTTTTTCTTATTTTGAATGTAAATTTATCTCCTCAATTCAAGAAAAAAATCACTTATTTTAAGATGAAATTATTTATTTAGATTTAAAATATTTTTGCAATGTAGTGATTTCTGTATTGTTTTATAACATAAATCTGCCCGAAATTCCTCTATATCTTTATCACTAACCTTTCTGTTGTCTATTTTCGTGATGTTTTCTGTTCACTAATGTTCTCTAAAAAAATCACTAAGGGCTTCACTTAAACTTAACACTAAATTTAAAGTTAAAGTCTGTTTTTAAATTATATTACTCCAGGGTTTCATTTGGGGGTATCACTTTTAAAGGGGGTAAATACACATTCATATTACTCATTCTGGATGTTTTTATAATTTATTTTTTTAGCTTTATATACAGTTTTTCGAATTTTACAGCAATGCCAAGCTGTGTGTTAGAGCATCATATAAAATCACAATCAACATGTATTGCAGTTTTCTTTTTGGAGACAGAAATATAAGTTGAAGGGTTTTCATTATTTCAAGCTAAATGTACATGACTACCTTGGCATATTAAACTTATCTGAAAACAATTTCTTGTTGTGTACACTAATCAAATGTTCATTACCTAACATAACATAGGGGGTTATGTACAGTCTTGTCTATTTAATTCAATGCATTGGATTCCTTGCAGCAAGTAACTCATAGTTTCAAATATCAACCCAAACCTTTCTATGTAAAACTGATTGTTGGAGTAAGTGTTTATATGATGGAGTTGAGTTTAACTGCAGTCAAAATAGGCACCTGGCTTTACTGGGTGCCTGAACAGAACAAAGCGGATTTTGGAAATTGAATAATTGATTATTTATTAGACCTCAGCACTGTTTTTCAATATGCAACTAGCAATTTATAGGGAAGCTGCATTCGCTTTGCAAAGTTTTAACTTTAAAAACATTTAGATGTAGTAAAACTCCACCAACCAAAATACATTTTCTGAAGTGTTCCTGAGCTAAAGAAATAAGTAAAGGAGGGAAAAAGTGAAAATGCTCATGTACATGGGGCAGGTGATGTGAATAATTAAGAAGGCACCCAGGTTGGGTTGGAATCCCAGTATCCTGCTATTAAGTCGAAAGAAATAAACAACTATTAAGGACTGTTTTATTTAAACCTTGTCCTCTATATCATTAAGTTCCTTCTGATTTTCTAAATCTGTTAATTATATTATGTAAAAGGCATGACAATACCCTCAATGTCTTTGCAAGATAGAGACGATACTTTGCGCTGTTAATTTTAAAAAAACATGGCATCACATTAAAGTTCCCTGAAAAACATAATGCAACCGCTTTTGGGATCTACTTAATCATATTCAGTTACTTTAACACAATTGTTTTATGTCCTTCCCTGCTAACATGAAACAATTGAGTTAAAGTAACTAAATATTATTAAGTAAATGCATAAAAATGGTTGCATTCTTTTTTTTTCAGTGTAGATCCTTCTAGATTTCCAGATCTAACAGAGATCATTAGGATAGTGGGTTCACTTTGGTCAAACACTCATCCACTTTAAATCCCTCATTAACAGAATTAACCTAGTCACCTCCTCTAGGGGTGTTTCCCTCTACCATCCTTACCTCTTACTGTTCAACAGTCCAGACAGTCAGTTCTTCAGCCATTATCTGCTACTCACACAAACCCCAGGTAAGATTTCCAGTACAGCATTGATCAACTCTGTAGTGCTATTTAAAATGTTGATAGATTGCAAATAATCCCTGTTTTTTTATTCTAACACCATGGCATATCTACAGTGTCTTATAGGCCTCTGTTGGGCATTTGGTTTCAAGGAAACCAAACCAGTGATCACAAATATTTTTGATAGCTTCTTGAAACAGGGAAGAACAACTATCTAAAGGACTGAAGTCTCAAGCACATAAACCTACCAAGAGTCTAAAAGCAACTGCCATGGGAAATACCACCAGCAGCGCGATATCGAAGGAGATCCTGGAGGACCTGAAGCTAACCACAAAATTCACAGAGATGGAAATCTGCCAGTGGTATGAGAATTTTCAGAAGCAGTGTCCCACGGGGAGAATCTCACCAGAAGAGTTTGAGGAAATCTATGCTCGGTTCTTCCCTGAGGCTGACGCCAAGAGCTACGCGCGGCATGTGTTCCGCTCCTTCGACACCAACGATGATGGCACGTTGGACTTCAAGGAGTATATCATTGCCTTGCACATGACCTCCAGCGGGAAGACCACCAGGAAGCTGGAGTGGGCTTTCTCTTTGTTCGACGTGGACAAAAACGGGTACATCAACAAGACAGAGGTTAAGGAAATCTGCCAGGTGAGGGGGGTTCTGGAAAACACCAACGTCAAAGGTTTAAGAGTTATTATTCTAGGAAAACTGGAATCATCTAAATATGACCAATGTTTCAGCTAGAGCAAAGCATCACCGCCTTTTTAATGTTCTCTCTTATTGGTTGTCAAATAAATGTCATCCTGGAGTTCAAAGTTGTTTGAGTAACTATATATACCTACATATAGCTGTTACTGTTTCCACTGTAGCAACTATATGAAGGCATATAGACAGATTTGAACAGATTGTCTTTTTCATGACAAATCGTGACATATAAAGATTAACTGGCAAGATGTAATCCAACCCCACAGTCAAGCATTTGTCTTGTGAGGCTTATGAGATTAACATTTTTTCATGTTGTGCTTATTAAATCTAAACTTGTTATTGCTGCATCATATGGTTTAAATTCCCGCTTTTCTCTCATCTTCTTTTTAGATCATTTCAACTGTTGCTGTCTGTAAATGGAAATTAGAGACCCTTGTCGTTGTATGTAGGTCTCAGCCCTGATTGCCATTTCAATTAGCCTGTCATTTTGATCTCCTGAAAATCTCTGTGATTATTGGTTTAGCCGTCAGACATGAGGGGCAGAGTCGGTCAGAAGAGAAGGGAGTGTTTTTGAGCTCTATCCCTCATAAGGAGACTATCAGTCAACTTTGGTCTAATCTTTTACTAGAAAGGTGTCGGACTCTGCCTTACAAAGCTAAATACTGTGCATTGTTTTCATAGAATCAGTCTTATGAAGGCCGCATATTCTGTTTTAAGACAAATGATAAAGATTTGTAAGAGGTTTAGGAAGATCAGCCGAGAATCCAGCTTGAATTGTAATGGGATTTCTCTTCTGGCCAACTGGCCTTAGTCCAACATAAGGTTATGTTTACAGTCTTTATGTGAAATTGTTGTATTTTTTTTTACAGTCACAAGACTCAACTAGCCTTAAAGAAAGCACTAACAAAACAAAGAAATAGCCTTTGACAACAGGTTAATTTCAAGTCTTTCTTGAACTGAAAAAATACATGTCAACTGTTAGAGACTATACTCCATTTTACATACACTTTGATTTTTAAATCTAGATTTAACATAGATGAATTTAAAGATGAAACTAAGGCCTTAGCTTTGCAAAGTATCTGACATATACATCAGGCTTCATTCGAGGTTGATAAGCAGCTTTGGCACCGCTTCGTTCTATGTTTATAAATGACTGCATCCTCACAACCTTGTTATCTAGATGGAGATAATTAGATTATGTATAGTCTAGCTACAGCATTTGCACTATACAGACCACAAGATCAGTGGAACAAGAGTGATGTAAAGCGCAGTAAGAGAAAGAGTCGACTTCGTGGTTCTTTGGCTTGCAGCTTGAGTCTTGGCTTTAATCCATGTTAATCTAGGTGTCTTAAATGTTGGAGACGAGTGCATCCTCTCTAAGTGGGACACACACTTATGGGACTGAACCTGAAGTAAACAGAGTTTTAGTCATTTTCAGCCCCCTTTCAGCCTGACTCATTGCAACTTGACTAGAGTGCACTGTTAAATTGGGGACCAAGTCATAATTTCAACACAATCTGAAAATGTTACAATTTCTATAAAAATGTTCCATAAATCTGCTGTAAATAGACTGGTGATGATATTAAAGAAAATTTGGACTTTAAACCAGCAAGAGTTTAAGAGATGGTCTAACTGGTTTGATTAGATGCTCCTTCAAAGCTTTCACTGTTAAATGCTTCTTGCTTAGTTAATTTCTGTGCTTTTAACATGTCCAGTAAAGCTAAGAAAGAATGTGGCAGGATTTTCATCCTGTGTTGTTTTTGTTTTTCCACCCAACCCCCCTCTTAGGCCATATTTAAGCTGATCCCTGAGGAGGAGCAGAAGATGCTACCGGAGGATGAGAATACACCCGAGAAGAGAGCTAACAAGCTGTGGGCGTATTTCAACAAGAAAGACAATGGTGAGCGTGGTGACATGCACTCTGACGACCAGAGTGAGAGCACCCCACATGTCTCTATGCTTTATTACCTCAGCTTTCAAAGGTTTTGCTCTGCATTTGGACACATTTGTTACCTTAAAATAAGAGTAATCCTGTTTTGATCAACATTAAACATATATATCTGATGACCAGGTCAGAAAGGAAGAATTTTATTTGATTAATTTCCTCTATGTTAAAGTAACTCAAATGTTCAAGTGTCTATTTACAAGGGTTGTTCTATGAGAAAATAAAATCTATATTTAGCATAATTAACTCGAGTAGCTGTCACACAGCTATTTTGTTGCATTTTTTCTGTTTTCCTTTTTAGGAAAAATATTTGTTATAATCATGATTATTTCAAGATATAAAATGCTTACTGCAATTGTAATGTTATCTAGATTTACGATAGCCGAAAATAAAATAAAGTAAAAACCAACGATGAATGAAGAAGAATTGCAAATAGTTTTAGGAATAAGTTGAGTTTTAATTCTTCTATTTTGCTGTGAACAGGTAATATATCAAAGCTGAAACCTAGACTTAAATCTTTACATTTTTATGAACTATGAGCAAATCTTCTAGAGTGGCAAACATAATGTTTTGAGTAAAAGTATGATTAAGGCTACGGTAGAATATCAGTTTTTATGTTACTTTACAAACAAAAAACAACAAAAAAAGTTTTGTATGATACACTTTTACTTTAAAATCTATAAAATATTTATGTAAAAAAAAACTATGATAAATTTGTTAATGTTATATAAAAACTCCATTCAAGATTTTTTTTTTAGGAAATAGCTACAGTCAAAGAAAATAATAGAAAGTACTAAAATATATTTGGTTACACATTTTAATATATATTTACAGTGTTTTAAAATTATTCTTTATAAATCTGAAAAGATAGACTGTGCACAGAATCCGTTCTTTGAATAATAATTGATGTTTCAGATAAATTTAATTACTTTTATGCCTAGTTAATGTGGAAATTTTATCTTATCTTTTAAGATTCTAATACATTAATATTAAATATTTTCCTTTTTTTGCAGAAAGTATTTCAGATTTTACATTAGATTTATTTTAAAGTTACATTTTTTTTCCTATTTTGGATCACAACACATAACTAAAATATAAATATTTATATTGTACTAAAATAAAATCACTTTTTAAATTTTAAAAGAGTACCTGATATTTAATGGAGCCCTTTCATGTGCAATAAAGGAATGTCTTTTACAAAAAAAAAAAAATGTTGTTCAGCTTACTGGAAGAATTATTTTGCATAAAAATAAATAAATAAATAAATAAATATAACCTTAAAGACATTACTGGCTGTAATTTCTTCCCTAAACTCATGTAAAGCAGAATATTTCAATGTATAATTAGTAAAGAAAATCAGATGTAAAGCTACATGGATTAAATCCACACTTAAACTATAAACCTTAAACCTTTTGTCGTGCCAAACTGTAACTAATGCTATCGTTGTTGCAACTGTCTCTCTCACGATTACAACAGATAAGAGGGGATTTATCTCTTTCACTGTTTTCTTCCTCTTTTTTCTCCTCCACCTCAGAGCGACTGGCTGAAGGAGAGTTCATCAAGGGAGTGATTGAAAACGAGAATGCAATGCGTCTCATCCAGTACGAACCTGTTAAACACTGAAGTCTCTCCTACTTTACCTTTTCTCCCTTTCTGACCTTCCTGGAGCTCCTATACACCACCTACTTTCTCCTCCTCATATCAGACGTTGTCGTTAACTTCATTCGTCCGTCTGTGTAAATAAAAGTTTCTGTTTTGTCTCCACTGTAACTTTAAAGCCATTTTTAATTTTTTTTTTTTTGTTGTTTAACTGTTTGTGAATACATTTTAACATAACAGAATCCCGTAGAAAAAAGTTATAGAATAGCCCAAACAAATATCAAACCTACACATGAACTAATGCAGTAAAAAATAGCAGTATGCATTAGTTATCTTGTATAATTGGTAAATTTGTGTTTTAAAATTGGGGTCTGCAGAATAACTTATTAGAAACTCAAAAAAACGTTAGCTTATTATCGCTTTTTTACAGACTTTAAATACCTTAATTGAGGTTTTAGCTCCTATGTGTTGTGCTTTATTCACTGAACAATAAATTAAAGGTTTTCTCATACATCTGTTGTTTGGAAATCAATTTATCTATCTGTCCCTTTAATTTCCTTTTTGACCCAGAACTTACTTTATACTATTACTCTTGTGACTGACAAAAATGGCGCTTTAGTTTTTTCCTATTTATTTATTTATTTTTTGTTTTCAATTGTATAATCCCCAGCAGTTAATCCTGGATTATCTCAAAAGTGTAACCTACAGATATTAAAGGTAAATTTAGGCCATTTTATCTAGCTTTGTGAATTAATGCCTATATAATCTTTTGTTGTATTGCGAGCACACACCCATAAATCTTCCTGCATGTGACGCTATGGTGAAGCTGAGGCTAAAATCCACACAGTCTCCTTCTGAAGGTGTGCCAGAATTTCTTTCCAACCTTCATTCTGACCCCCAACGACTCGCTCCATTCGGTCCCTTCGGCATGTCTCCTCTCTGCTCCTCCTCCGTTCCATCCAACTCAGGATTAATGGTTTACACATAATCTTCTGTTCAACATGAGAGCAGACTTTTCCAAAACCTCTGTAATCATTTTATCTCTGCGGGCCTGTCTGCTTATCTTCACACAGAAACTGTATTTGCTAGCTTTTTTGGTGTAAAAGTTCATTATTTCCTCACAGGTTTGTCATAACCACATAAAGCAGACTTGGAAAATGAAACATTTAATATCCAAGCAGATTAATTATTAGATAGTCTGTATGAGAACAATAAAAGCTTGACATAATATCTTAAAAGTATAAATGACAAAGTTAGGTATTTTTGCATTTTACATGTAGAAATATACATTTGCTTTGCTATTTTAGGCACAGAAGCATAAAACATGCAGATTGGTTTGCAAGTTTGACCAATGTGTGCATTACAGTCCTCCACATTAGGACGTGTTAACAGAGTGGTACTCATTTTCAGTTTGCAAGTTTGGTGACTCATACTGGTTGACTTTAAGTCTGCAAGGAATTATTTTTGAATATGTAGAAAAAAAAGTTTAGAAAGAAACAGTTTAGAGCTGCATCATATTCCATTGCTTCCCCTTTTCAGTTCTTGCCTCTGAAGCAGCATCCTAGCTTTGTTTGTTAACCAAACTTAACAACTTATCAAGCATGTCTTTGAGGCAGGTAAAACCTCAGGAACTGAAAGAAGTCTACTGCAGCTGTACGCTCTCAATCTGTCCCTGTGTGATAAGCTAATCACTTAGCTCATATCATAGGTTGATGCAGACTGATAGAAGTGGTGCTTCTGAGTGCAAATGATAATGCAAAAAGCCTAGCGTACCCTTTGTTTTAAAAGTAGTCATTATCTTAAAATAACCCCCGCACTCAACTTCTGTTTCTACCTTTGACTCAGAGATCTGCTTTCTAAGAGAACAAAAGGCTTTTCTTAGATTACTCTATAAAGCCTGGAGCTCAACGCTACTCCAGACATTTGACATTGAGAAAGCTTTCTGGATGGGAAACTAAACATCTTCAAACTTGGAAAACAAAGTCCAGTGGTTTGTTTTTAACTTTTTGAATGACTATGACCTGGACGACTGAGAATCTTCACCAGCAATAGAACAACAAGTCAAAACACGCCAGCTTCCCTTATCACTGTAATGATGCAGTTTGTTTTAGCCCTTTTAGTTTGTGTGCATAACTTGTCCTTCTAACAGGGTGAATCAATTCGATCCATGGCCTCCCCCATCTTGTCTCTCTCTCGCTCACAGTCCTCACACCCCTCTGGGCCACAGCCTCCCACTAGAACCAGTGTCGGTACATCCCCGTTTCCCACTCCAACCACACTGCCATTCGGCGCCCACGCCACGTCAATCATCCCATCTGGACAGTGTAGTAGGCCGCTAACTGAGTACAGCCCTCCTCCTGGAACCACCTCGTCGTAGGGTGGGGCCCGAGCGGCGGCTCTTGCTTCGTCCAAGCGGAGTCTTTGCCTGCGACGGATCTCAATGATGGTCTTTGTGTAAGAATTGAGTGTGACAACAGCAGCCCCCATGCAGCAACTAAAGGATACCCAGGCAAGGCTGAAAAAGTACAGTTTGAACAGTAAGGAGAAAAGAAAAACTTTCGAGTGTTCGATAAATTTTTGTTTCAATTCTGTTTTTAAGCAGTAACATACGCAAACGACCAGCCGTAGTCCCAGGACTGAGGCCTCCAGTCTTTAGGGCCCACAATGACTGTCATCTGAAATACTGTAGTGAACATCATATGTGCTACCATCCCAAGAAGACCTAGAGAAAAAAGAGAAAAATGTCATTTGCACCCAGAAGCACCCAAGATATGCAAAATACTATATTGTATAGGAAATCATCCTTAGTGGCGGTACTATGACCTTGAATTAAAAACAAAGATTATCAGTTTTCCTTTAGTAGAGAAAAAAGCCCACAGCATCACAGAACTTACACCATATTTAACATCGAATATGAGGAGCTTTTGCTACATTTGTTTTTTAACACAACACTCACGTAGTTGCAGAAAATGTCAGTCTTATATCCCTTACTAATTGCATATCTGCCTTTCACTTTTTTGGTGCAGCGAGACAGGAGGCAATATAATTACAATCTGGCATTGTGTTAGTATACAATCAACACTGTAGTCTGCATGATTTGACCACCCAGGCACCAAGGGAAAGTCAATAAAATTCCTCTGCATGTGGGTCACAAGCTCTAACATAAACACCTGTATGCCATGGTTACAGGATCCATCCACCTGAATTTGAAATATCTCAGCAATGACTCAATAACTTTACTAAATCTCATGCTTTTTATGCTGTCAGAACAGATGGTTTTAACAAACTAGGGTCCTGATTGTATGATAACTAAGGGTTTAACCTGATAATGGAATTTGGCACAGTGAAAGTTCCAAATAGACATGAGGACTTGGTGACCCTAAGACCAAGAGGAACTTAAGAGATGCTTTTATATTCTGCACCATCATTGCCTTAATAGTAAGATAAATGTGAGTCATTTTCCATGATTGTTTGCCACCGCTTCAGAAGTTTCAACATCTCTATTAATACTCTGACTGGAACTATTAGCAAATATGAGTGTCACTATTTTCTTGAAGCCGTTTCCTGCTCTATGACTATCAACAGATCTATTAAATTAATCTCTTGTCTTTCCCACTTTGAAGAGTGAGAGAAATGCGTCGTATTATTGTGTGAACCTCATTATATATTCAGCTCAAGATTAAAATTTTTTTTAGAAACTAAAAAAGCAAAGTATAAAAAAATGCTTCACATTGTTTGGACACTAAATACAAAAACAGGAATTAAAGGTTGTTTTTTTTTTCATTGTCAGGTTCAATTAATCTTCCGTTAACAAAAGACAAATTTATTCCAAGACAAATGTTTTTGGTACCTTAGGGTAAACCATAAGCTCACCTGACAGCACAGTACAAATTGCAGCGAAGGCATTGATTTTTAGTGCGTGCATCTCTTTATGGGAGCACATAACCTCCAGGCACATCAGTAGGAAGCCCATCCCCAGCAGGCCAATATATGTAAACTCAGAAATGACCGACAGCCAAAGAACTCCTGAAATATGTGGAAACATATATGATCATTGTAAAGAAGGATTAGATAAAGCTGTGGAGATTACATGAAAGAAATTTCTATTACACAACTCACCTTGTGTTTCCCCTGGAGTTAAGTCGATGAAACTGCGACATACCTCTCCTGCCAAAATGTACGATTCAGACGTAAGACATTGAGATTTTCAACAGCTAATATCTATAATATATTTTCCCTTTTTATGACCGCCATTATGACCGGCTGAAGGGGTTAATCTTGGTCTCACCATCATTCTGCTTCTCACAGCTTTCCCAGAAGCCAGTATGGAAGTATCTGAAGGCAAACTTGTCCTCTCCTGTCTCCCAGATGTAGTGTACTGCATTGGCCAGCTGCCTTTGTCTGATCTTGGCTAGCTCTTCTCTTCTGTCTGGAGACAGTGTGCGGTTGAAAGGGTTTTGCGTGGGGCTCTCTGTTTGACAGAAAATAAGTGAGGCATTTTAGGCTTATATTTGAACCTTTTCAACAGATATGATACCTTTTCAACTCATGGAAAATTGAACATGATACTCCTAACTTTTCAGGTGTATGTCAGCAAGCAGGTGTACAATGAAATAAGAGCAATGTGATTTTGATCTTAGTTAACTGAATAGATAAAAAGCAAATGTATGAGGAAAGTTAACTGTTGGATTAAACTGACATTGTGCTATAGCAATCAACACATCCATCCATCAATTGTCCTCCGTCTATCCAAGGGGGGAAATCCAGACAATTATTTCCTCTAAGACACATTGTCAAGGGAAATCTGGCAAATCTAAAAGTTTTCCAAGACCACTGCTGGTACTGAAGTAATTTGTGAGATCTGAATCTAGACAGACCAGTTAATCATGAACTTTTCTTTGGGACTCCCTTTCTTAGCCACCATAGATGGGATTAAATCCTGCATTGCTTCAGCTAAGGCCCTATTCCATCTTTTTATTTCATATTCCATCATATCATCACTCTTGAACAAAACACCAAGATACCTGAACTAATTTGCTTGAGGTAGAGATTTACCTCCAACCCTAATAGAGCAGATCACACTTTTGCCATTCAGGTATGACCTCTGACTCAATGACAGACTTAGAGGATTTTGTACCTTTTCTGTAAACTTACAGTACTTTAGGCCACTTGAAGATGCTAGCAGAACCAATGCATCTGCTAATAGCAAAGGCAAGACCTTAAGGTTTTCAAACCAAGCGCTACCAAGCAGTCATAAAGGAGCACATCTAGAACAATTGAATGATGTAGAGAGGATGAAGACACAGTTTGTGCTTTGCTTGTCTGAGCGGCTTGCACTTAAAACATTCCTGGCACTCACAAATACCTAAACACTCTCATCAGGATTACACCCGGGAATAGTTGTAAGGCTTCTCAAGACCCATTTATTACCCAAAGTCCCACAAACCCCTCATAGCTCTTCTGTCAGAATAACAAATATACACCTCAAAATATATGTACCTTTTGCAACTATACATGCATCACTCTGAATAATGCATTCATATGTTGCCCAGTCAGTAAAATTTTCATTATCCCAGTAGCTTTTTTAAAGCCGTTTTCGTAACAGTGTGCGTCAATAAAGTCAGATCTCTCTATACAAATAAAACAAGTAGTGATCAAAGTAATCTCATTGTGGATCAGGCTTAAATATAAAGACCTGAGAGCAGGGGACATCATGCTGTCCTCAGTGGAAAAATAAGTGTTTAGAGAGCATCATCACACCTCAGAGATTAATACTAAACCCTGGTTAATTCCACCCAGGAACTCATCCTCTGACAGCAGAGATTAAAAACAAGAATTGTCAATTTCTACACAGGGTTGAGCATAGGAGTGTGCTGGGGAGAGTTTCCCTCCTGAACCTCTCACCTCCATTCAGAAACAGAAATGTTTGGAGAGTTTCCATATTTTTTTGTCCATTCTTAATATGCAATATGAAATTTCAGTTTACTGTGATCACCAAGTCACTGAGTAAGCAAACCTCACAAGTTGGATGTGATGTCATTTAAAGGTATAGTGGAGGACGTTCTTTTTCCGGGTTGATAATCAAAATAAGTGGTTCTCCCAATTGTCATCATTCTGGTGATATGTTTACCTAAGGCCGTCCTACATGCTCGTCCCCATTTTCACTTACCGGTGGTGAGTCTGACATAGTGGAAATGTGCAAATCTTGTTTTGGGAACCAAGCTTGTATGAGCGATGCAAACAGCAACCTTTTAAACAGAGCGTGCACAAGGAAAAATGGGCTTGTGCATGTTCTCGCATGCATTTAATAGGC